GTCCCTTGGGATACGTAGACATGTCTCATTCTGTGTCCAGCCCCCATCTGTGACCACCTCTGTCCCTTCCTCTCTCCTCCAGCCGTCTGTACATACTGCTTTCAATAAAACACTTCGACAACCAGTGTGATGTTGTAGAGATATTTTAAATTATGTTGTCTTGTGTGTGTGATGTGGATCATTGAGTGCGAGGGCTCTGCTCACAGGACAGTGGGGTTGTCCCTGGATCCCTAGGAGACAACTGAAGGAGGGCAGTAGGTCTCAGTGGGAGTCCATCACCAGGGAAGATCTGCTCAGCACAGCCCAGGTGGGTCCACGCTGTCTCGTATCCTCACAGCAGAGTCTGCTTTCCCCTGGGGAGCTCTGCTGAAGCCCTGTGTTTCCTGAAGGAGCCTCTGGGGCAGAATCAAGAACAGGGATGCTAGCAACCATGGGAGAGGGACAGGTTATGATTCTAATTACCTGATCCTCTGCCTACAACAGCTTTCCCTGTATTGTATTGTGTTCTAACCAATGGTCAGCCACCTGGGAGCAGAGTCTACGCCTTGGTTTCCAGTATATTACAGGTCTCTAGTCCAGTGCTTAGCCAAGAAGACACGCTCGCACTGCTGAATGAATACACTTGGGAGGGAAGACAGGACAGGTCTGCAAATGTATTTGAAATGGGGACTCTCTTGGAGCTGTCCCGACAGGAGGTCATCATACATAGGCATCTTCCTCACCTGCCAAGCCCTTTACACCTGAAGACCTTCCCAGAGTGCCCCTCAGCCAGAACCCACCTGATCCCAGGGGTCTCCCAGGTCACATCTCACCTTCTGCTCTTGCTTCTGTTCTCATTTCGCCCCCCTTGATTGTCCCTTAAGTCTCAGAGGACACCTTTGATTCCCTCAGGGATCCAATATCATAAAATTAGATCGTATGGTCCTAAAGTTCCTTGCTGGGACTAAATTAACAAATCAAGAATCACATGTAGAAACGCAGCTGTGCATGACTATTGCAATGGGTGTTTGTCTTCAGCTTCTTCAGGGGTCGGGTGATGGCTCCTCTAGGCAGTCTGAACTCTAGAACAGGTTCTTCTAACTTCCGCTTGGGGCTAGGAAGCTTGGCATCTTCTATTTCCATTTCCTCCTCATTGGTGGCTTCTAACTTTTCTTTCATGTCAAGATCCTTAATAACATGCATGAATTGGATGTGTTTCTCCAGCATCAGCTCTTTCACAAAGGTCCGCCTGGAGTCTGGGCAGTGTGAGCAGGTGTAAACTTTCCTTGATGCCTTTGTGTTTGATCCGGTTGTGTGAGGGATGAGCTGAAAGATTTTTCACACTGGCAACAGGGGTGATTCTTCATTTGCTTCCCATGCTCCTTCCTCACAGGTGGTCACACCTGCAACACGTTCACCCAGGACTGGACACTTTTTTTGTTTTCACTGATTTCTTCATAGGTGATGGGGATTCCTTTCCCAATTTCTCTTTCCCACTCATGGATCTGGTGTCTGTGTTTTGATTTGCTGAATTTTGAGTTCCAGGCTTAATGTCAAAGGCAAGTCTATACCCAAGTTTGGAGGCCCTTCCATGCTTTTCGGTGTTCCATGCATAGACGTGATATGGTCCATCATGAGTTGCTTCTGTGCATATAAAAGAGAACAGTC